AGAAAAGTTACAGCAGCCAGAAGGGAGAGGAGACCCCCTTCAGGGCCATAGGCACCTGGCAGGGGTTCCCCCTCCACATGCCTTGTTCAAAAAAGGAAACCAGGGCTCAGGCCGGGCGGACCCGGGATGCCGCAAGCTCGTGGATCTTCTTGAGGCCATCCCGCTCCGGGTTGGAGAGCACCACCGACCAGATCATGTCGGAGACCTGGCCCATGAGGTTCGTCTTGCTGAACCGGAGCCTGGAGCTCAGGCTCGGGTTGACCCGGAGGGAGCGATCACGGGGGGCCGCCGTGGGCTCCACCCTCTTGTAGAACTCGATCCGGTCCTTGACCCAGGACTCGTAGAGGTTCTGGGGGGGCTTGTCCAGGATGAGCTGGAGCTGGGCCGACTTCCCTTTGTGTTCCCCCGTGATGAGAAGGAAACGGCTGGCCCCTCTGCCACTTCGCCAGAACCCTTTGCAGTGGCGGCAAACGTAGCCCCCACGAGTCTCACCCTTCTTCTTGTCAACGATTTCCCACGGGGAAACGGAGCTGAGGACCAGGCCACACTCCATCTTGGCCCAGAAGACGTGGGCCGTCTTGTCCCCCGTGTTCTTCTTCTTGTAGTCGTCCGAGGCCACGCTCGTGACATTGTCCGGGGTGATGGGCGGGAGAGCGCGCTCCTGCTCCGACGCCGGGTCGAGGGGGATCCTTTCAGCGCCAAAGGCAGCTGAGGAGTCCCTTTCCCCCAAGCCAAGGCCTTTGATGTGGCTCTCCGAGTAGCCAAGCTTACGGTAGATGGGGCCGGCGTACTCTGGCTTGAGGCGGGCTGTCCACCACTGCACGGTGTTGCAGCGCCAAGCCATCTTCACCTCCACCACCGACTCTTGACCCAGCGAGTTGGAGAGCATGTTGTAGATCTCCGGGAAGTGGCGGAAGGCCTTCAAAGGAAGGGTGACCCTTTCGTCACATACGGCTCTCAGTCGCATGTGCTGCTTGGAGTCATGGATGTCAGCAACAGGGAGGTCCAAGACCACCTGAGGCGTACGGTTGATGAAGACCTTGGCAGCGAAAAATGATCCGATCTCGCGGTAGAGCTGCTTCCACTCCTGGTTTGTCGTGGGCACCGGGAGGTCGTGCAGAATCACAAACTCTTTGGCCTCCTTCATCAAATCCCGGCGGTCCTCTCGTCGCTGCAGGTTCTGCTGCTTGTTCTTGGCCCCTCTCTTGTGGGACCTGACGGTGATCGGCAGGTGGCTCCACACCGCGTAGAGGTGCCTGGCAGAGTAGGTGTGGCCGAAGCAGGAGAAGAGGCTAACCAAGTCCCACGTCTGCACCTCCTTTCTCCAGTGGGTGTTCCCGTCCCCCTCGGCATGGAACGGGCCGATGATCTTATCCAGGGGGGGCCTCGTGCCCATTGCAACCTGTGCCTCAATCTCCTCCATGGTGAGGGCAATCGGCTCGAAGAAGGGCTGCCTGAAGGAGCTGGGGTGTGTCCTCATCTCCAGCATGATCTTCTCCCCTTCGGGCAGGGGCTTTGCCCACGTAGGGGGCTCAAGGGGCCCCGGGTGCTGCTTCCATCTGCCCCCGATCATGCGCTGCTCCCCCATGTGCAGCTCGATGATACGTTTGAGGCGAAGCATCTGGAACTCGACCGAGCCCACCGGAACTCCCAGAACTGCCTCCGGGGACTGCTCCTCAGGGCCAAAGGCACCTGTGGAAGACAGCCCCTCGCCGGAGTCCCGGGCGACGCGCTCACCCTCACGCTGCAGAGCGGCCAAAGTGGGAAGCTCTTGCAGAAGAGAGGCAGGGAACGGATTCCTGCTCTGGTTCAGCAGGAACTTCGTGTTCAAGTACCTTTCCTTAAGGGCCTCGATGTCGTCAAGCTCCATATCCTTGAGTGGGCACTCCGGGTTGAACACGTTCATCTCCAGGGCCGCGCGCAGCTGGGTGCCCCAGGCATCAATGGAGTCCGCCACCGGCCGAAGGAGCTGGGAGCGCTGGGATCCCTCATCCTGCATGCGCTTGTTCGAGGCCTTGGCCTCTTCCAGGCTGGTCTGCGCAGCGAAAAACTCGTCACCCTGGTTCCCAGGGCCCTGCAGGTAATTTCGCTTAAGGAGGGAACGAAGCTTCTCTGTATCCAGCTGCCGGAGGATTGACGTACCCTTTGCCTCCTCGACACTCTGTGCACCCGCCTGCATCTCCACGATCACATCCAGCTGGGGGTTGATGTGATCCAAGAACTCCTCTTCCGTGGGCTTCTTGGGCTGTTTGTCCACCGGGCCCGAGCTCTTCTTGGTGATGTCCATCGCCGCCGCCAATTGGGGATGGAAAGCCCTCGTCTCCTGGCTTGGTTGCCAATCACCCCGGAGGTGGGGTCTGTCCCCTGCCTCCTTGTCGGCAAACTGCACCTCGTCGAAGGGCTGTGTTGCCACCGTGTGAGCCAAGCTAAGCCTCAGGGCCATAGGCACCTGGTCGGCAAAGCTCAGCTCCTTCTGATCCGTGGGCCTGGGTGGCGGCTGGGCCCAGGAGCCAATGTCCACGGAGGCGGCTTCCTTCTGGGCCTCGTCTGCATCCGTGTGCCACGTGACACCCTTGGGGCCACAGAACATTCGCCAGGAGGACTGGCCTAGCTTGATCTCTGCCGAAGGCGGGCCCTTGTCCACGGCGATGACCGACTTCTGGCAGAGCTTACACTTCCCCTCCACCTTGTTGTCCTGCCGCTGCCAGTCGGAGAAGCAGTTCGGGCACATGAGGGTAGCCCCCGTGCTGCCCGGGTCAAGTTGGCCCATGCTGCTGTGCCCCACTCCTGTGCGAGCACGGTTGTAGGGGGCGGCCAGCATCTTCTCCTGTGCCAGCTGTCGTTTGTAGATTTGGTACACCTCAAGGACTCGTTCCACAGCCGGGCGGCTCCACTGCTCCGCCTTGAGCTCGGAGAACAAGGAGGCGATCTCCTCCTTTGTCAATTGCTGGGCCCAGTCTGCACTCTTCTTGCCGATGCCGGGGAAGTTGTCCGGGAAGCCCTCGATTTTGAAGACCTTCTCCTCCAGGGCGCCGGCGGGCAGGGCCGAGTAGGGCCGGGGCCTGGTGGCATCATCCTTGGCCACCGTGTCGCCGCCCTCAGGGACAAAGTCACCTGTGGTTGGCACCTCGGGCCTATCCATGGGGTCGTCCGCCGCAGCACCCTCAGGGACAAAGTCACCTGTGGTTGGCACCGCCGGCTTGTCCATGGGGTCATCAGTAGCAGCACCCTCAGGGACAAAGTCACCTGTGGTGGGCACCTCCGATCCCGTGGTGTCCATGGTGGTGTCCTCCGTGACCGCCACCATCTCGCTGCCCTTGGCCAACAGCCTTTTCATGGCAGCTTCCATTTCCTGGAGTCGCAAGTCCATGCTGGTGTCATCCACCTCCAAAGTCGTGAAGGAAGCCAATGCCGAATTGGCCGACTCATCCTCGTGGGCATGGACATTGTGGGCCAAGGTAGCACGAGCCAAAGCAACTTCGTCGTCCGGCTTCTCCCATTCCTGATCACTGTCCCCTGTGTCGCGAGGGGGGATCAAACTCTCAACCGTCTCCATGCTGGAGGCCAAGACGTCATCGACATTAGCAACGGGGGTGAGTGCCATGGTCGAAAGTCGCAAGGAAGAAAGCGGGAGCGGTTTCAAATTTTGAAGGACCCACGGTCCACGATCTTGAGCCAAAATGGCAGAGCCATTTTGGCAGACGTCTCCTGACATAAGTCTTGCAAGTCGGCAAGCTTTGTTGCAAGTAACTATTGAAGAGGCACAGTCCAGCAATTTTAAGGCGGCAGCGCTCCTCCTCGACTTCCGTTCTTAGTCCGCTTTACAGCGACTTCATTGCCCAGAGAATCCTACGGGGCGCAGGGCAGCAAAGGCGTAATTAGCGTTGACAGTGGCGCGAAACGGATCATGGCGGAAGCCTTCCAGGCGCCCAGAAAGGTCTCCAGCTCGATCGCCATTGCTGTAATGACATTCCAAGGATCCCTGCACGGGATAATGTGAGTCGTGAATCATTTGCTGCTCGAGGGTCAAGATGCGCTTCGCTCGCGTCTGCTGTGCAGTATGCTCGTCACTGCAGTACCAGTACTCCAGTACCATACCATCTTCGTGAATATGCACTTGCTCTTTCCAGAAGCTCGCAGCAAACAATGCAGCAACAAGGCTTGCATGGTCTCAGTCTAGGGTGGCTCGCAGCTCTTCGCAGCTCTTTCCAGTCCGTGACTGACGCGTCAACTCGGGCTTGCAGAGCACAGGCCCACGCACGTGCACTGCAAAACACTTCAGTGCAGGCTGCCCCCGCCGTTGTTGTGGTGTGAACGTTGCTACAGTGTTTGGCAGTGTTTGGTGAGCAGCTGCATGAATAATATTCATCGTGGGCCGCTGTCGCTGCAGACCAGCATGCATCTGCATGAATGAATGTCTCTCGGTAGCCTTGGCAAAATCGAGTACGGTGCGTGAAGAGTCACCATAAGGGAAGCCTGCACTCCTCCGGCAATCCTGACTTCACTCTGGAAAATTGATGGCCGCCAAATCTTTGGGCGAGAGCTGGTGCAATCCGAATTTCGTGTGCTTCGTTCGCACGCATTCTAAGATTGCAGAGTTTCGTTCGGCCTGCTTGAGCTCGCAAGGGGCGCCCACGGAGCAGCAATTGCGAACTTACTCGACAACTTCAACACACTCCATCGCGGTAGCTCCACTGCTGTCCAGCGCCACGGCCTCGTTACTTACTCCTGCTCACATGCTCTCATTCGGAGCAACTAATTCAAGAAATGCTACAGAGTCGACTCAGTCTGCACATCTCCCTGGCCTGCTGCGCTTGTGCAGACATGCCTTCTGAATCGAATGCAAGTGCACAAAAAGGGCAGCTGGGGAACTGCATGCTGCTTTGCAGTCTGCAAACCCCATGCCGACTTTGCATCCCAACGTCTGCAGAGGCGGCCAGCGTGGCTATGGCTGAGTCTCTTATCCAAAAGAAATGGAAGATATTGAATCCGTTGACTGGTTAATGTACAGACACCATCTCACAGCAAACCTTTTCTCCGTTGAAGACGCACCTCAACAGCGTATATCATGGTCTACCAAGCCAAACAACCACCACAGCTCCTCGAATATCTGTGTGGAAAGCAAACCATCTGCAGCACCCCACACAGAACGACTCCGAGTTTCTGAAAGTCCAACAACGGAATGTTCCAACCTTCACATGAAATGGCTGAGCATCTCGCGGTATTGGCTCCTCCAACCTTAGCAGCGACTGTGCCTGATACTCAGCTAGGGCTACCTGCTGCATTCACAGTCAAGTGCCGCCGTGTCACCCTCCACCTTTATGTGGAGCGTTGAGATAAATAACACCCTCAATTTCCTGGCGGCGAAGCTCGCGCGGCTTTTGCGGCTCGGTGCGGTGTCAACGTCTCGAGCCTTTCCACACTGCTTGGAGCTGTGCCCATAGACATGGCAGCTGCTCCTTCAGGCAACACGCGAGCTGTGCTAGCGGCATCTAGCGGCTAGCGGCTGGCGGCTAGCAGCTAGTGACCAGGCCTTGCTTGGCGAACTTGGTCGTCAAGCTCGGCGCAGCCCGATGCCTTCTTCCAAGACGACGGGGACCGACAGGCTGGTGAACCAAAATGTAGGCCCAAACAAGGCCTTCGCCATGCTGAACTCCTGCACGACCTGATGTGTGGGCCCCAAGAACATGAAAAAGATTCAGATGAAGAGCGCGTTATCTACATCCGGTGCGTCTGTTTTTTTAATGTCTCGCCATCTCAGCTTCTTACAGGCAGTTCGCTTCTCGGAACGAAGTGCGAGCAGGTGATCACAGTGTCGTGGTACCTCACACAATGCTCAGCATCCAAGGCAGACGAGAGCCGAATGAGCTCACGGGCAAACCTCAGCCTCAATATCCCATCCAAGGAACGGCTTTTGCAGATAGTCCCTGTTCAAGGCCATCATGTATCGCCAAACCTCGCTCACTGATGAACAATTCTGATATCAGCAAGGACCTGCACGTTCGACCGAAGCCTGATGGTTCGGATCCATGGGCCATTTGGCGTACCTCTGGCTTTGAACATGTGGATCGAGCACCAAGTGTTGCAAATGCTGCATTGCTTGGTTACGTTCTACTACTGTCAAGAGTCTGTCTCATTTCACATCTTCCGACCTCTTCTCGGTGGTGCGCACGCGTTTGCTCTTGTTCACGAGCATGTCAACATACGAAGATGTCGCGACACGAATTAATTACCAGGCAGGATTCAATTAGGTTTTGGAAGCAAGAGTCTGCCCACATCTTTTCCTCCCTCCCTCCCTCGATGGCGAGAAGCCCGACGAACACATGGTGCATCGTGAAGCTGCAGGGAGCTTCTGCTAGGAAGATGGGTCGGGGGAGCCGGGATCTGGCGGCAACAGCGCACTTGTCGTGCTGGAGCTGCGGATCTGGAAACCTTGACAGGAAGAATATCGCACTCTCCGACCTGCATGCTGGAGTGAGGCAATCTGCCCGCAACAAACTGTCTTCCAGTAGCTTGCATCCAAGTCTGCCAAGTTTGCTAAAGCAGTACCAGACCGAACTGCGCTCAGGCAGCCGCGGGTCCGCGACATCGAACTCAGCATTGTACCATGAGAATAATGGAACCACGTAGACACCTGTGAAAGGCAGTAGGGGGGCAGCCCTCCTTACAGCAGCAGCCCTTGCCTTCGCAAATGGCCGCCGGCGCGACGTCCACACCAAGACGATCGCACATCTGGGGCCAAGAGCAGAGGCAGCAGAGTGAGAGAGGCAGACGCCAGGGCCAAGCCTCCAGGATGGCCCAAAACTTGCAAACGGAGTCTGGGAACCTTGGAATCTCAAGATCCTCTCGCAAATTGCGTCCGCACACAGCGGCACGCGGCACCTCTCCATCTCAACGGGTGTGATCCACATCTCGTTGTTCCCCGGAACGAAGAAGATCCGTCGGAACTTGGAGCGCAAGGCGGTCCTCAGAGTCAAGGCAGTCAAGTCTGTGAGTTCCACGTGCTTTGCTGAACACTCTGGTTGGCTCGGAAGAAGTTTAAGGCTCCGTCAGACCTCTTTCGAGTGCCCGAAAGGAGTCTGCGACGTTCCCGGTCAAGATGAGGACATCGTCCAGGAACTTGGTCGCATGGATGCCATGCACCCAAGCCTCATTGGAGCCTTGTCCGAAACGTAGCTCCGAAAGGAGAAAGACGCGTGTCCTGCATCTCGGTCTTCCGGCGTCACGCAGGAACCTCCGTCGCCGATACGCGGCAGCCGAAGAAGACCAGCGGGGGGCCAGCTGCAGGCAGCTCTGTCGACCCTTGCTGGCAGCAAGGTTTCGCTCCTCTGCTTTGAGTGACTTGGCAAAGGCTACGTAGGCCCCTTCGTTCTCGCTGCAGCCGAGCAAGGCAACGCCAAGGCGGCAGAAGGCCTTCGGGTAGGCTTGGCCTTCCGCAACTGCACAGTTTGCGTCGCGCACGGCTGCCTGCCAACGGCCCGCACTTGCAAAGGCAGCCGAGCGGTTGGCGAAAAGGATGGAGCGCAGCAGACTGTAGTCATCCTGTATCGCCGTGTCGGATTGTTCCATGTACTTCTGTGGTGGAATACCTGCCAAGGCTTCGGTATAGCAGCAAATAGCCAATCCCCAGTCCTTGCCGCGCAACGCAAGGTTGCCTTGCTCCTTGCATTCGCGGACGCTGGAGGTGGCTTTGCGCCGGCAGGTCTCCTCCAAGCCTCTGAGATTCTCCTCAGAGCTGTCGAGCTGCACGGCCTTGCGCCAGGCCTCGCAGGCCTCGGACAAGGCCGACTGGGCGAAGGCGGCCGCACCGATGCGGCTCCAGGCACGGGCCCAGTCGGGCCGCAGAGCAGCAGCGCAGCGTGCGTCCCGCAAAGCAGCCTCTGCTTGCTGCACGCGACACAGACACAGAGATCGGTTGGAGAGAACCACGGCCCGTTCAAGTACATGGTTCTCGTCATCTTTCTTCTCATTCTCCCGCTCGTCAGACTCCATCTCCGGAGCCAGCAGGCCGTAGCAATGTGCTTCTTTCGAGTAGTACCACTGCGCGAGATAATAGTCACCCGACTTGACTGCATCTGTGGCAAGTTGCTTCCACAAGGTGGAGGCCACCTCTCCCTGCCCCACAGGCGTGGGCAGCGAGGGCCCGTCGAGCGCTCTAAGATTCGCCTCCCGCTTTGCCTCTCGCATCCAGGACTCGCGCGCTGCTCGAAGTCTTCTTCTCTGCTCACGCCTCTCCTTGCGAATAGCGGAAGCAGCAGATTCCAACTCGTCCAAAATATCGAGATCATCAAAATCACAGGTCTCACCTCGACACTCCTCCACTCTCCTCTTCGCTAGCTGGATAACTTCGGCATTGTCCTCACCCTCGCTGGACTCATCAGCCACATCGTCTCCAGCGGACTCTACTCTCCCGGAGTTGACCGACACCCCACTCGTTGCCACATAGCAAGCCAACGCTGGAGAGGCCGAGAGCTGCCGGGGCAGCAAGTTACGGGCTCTCCCAAGACAGATCAAGAGCATGTGCTTAAGCGCAGGCAGCAGCTGATGTCGAAGCCGCATCCACTCCTCCTTTCCAGCCTGTGCAGTGAAGCAGGACCTCCCCCCCCTCCCCCCGCCCTCCCCCCCCCCCACATGTGATGCAAAGCCGTCAAGCCGTTTCGGTGAGAACTGATGCTGAAGAGCAGGGTGCACAAGTGCAAGCCAAGCCGCCTTTTTCGCTCCCGTTGGGCAACAGACTGCAACCTCACAAACCACGCAGTACCCACACAAGTCACAGCGACCTTCAGCCCAACAGGGAAGGAAGCTGAGGCACTGGCTGCAAACATTGGTGTCGGCTCCAGCTGCCCTGCAAGATGCCAGGACATGCGTGCAAACCTTCGCACTGACACGAGATTCACGAGATGCCTGGACGGGCATGTGCAGACTGACCTGCATTTGAGTAGAACTGCCTGAAGCACAGCGGGCGGGATGCAAACGATAAAGAAGAGAAACTCAGAGAAAATGTAGTGGATGCCAGCACTAGCATGTACGAGCCCATTCTTCCACTTCACGCCACACATGTTAGACAAGTTGCAGAAAGCACGTTGGCTTGGTGAACAGCTGCATGGGCCTTGGGAACATGATTGCTAGGCTAGGGCCTAGGGAGGAGTAGGTGGATCGCTGACAGGTGCTGACTACGTCGTGAGCCCATGGCTCTCCACAGAAGAGCGGGCGAAGCTGCAAGGAGCACTCCGACGCCAGCTCTGCACGCTTTGCCGCTCGGCGTAGCCTCACGGGCTAAGAAGCGTCCAGCAGAGTCCGGGCTTGCTTGGGTGTCTTTTTGCTTTGTTGCCGTGTCTTCGAGTTCGAGGCCCTGGCATGAGAGGATGAGCAGCGGCTCCGAAAGGGCCCAGGCGCTTCGCTCGCCTTCGATCCGGCGCGTGGCCGGCACCGTGGCGGAGGAAATGCAGGAAGGCTCTCTCGTGCTCCTCCGTCTCGCGGAGTTGCTGGGCCTTCCTTTCCTCGTAGTCGGGAGCTTCCTCTTCGGGCTCCGTCTCTGACCCAGGGTCCGGGAGGCTATCGCTCCAGCTCGCCGGGCCCAGAGCATTGCGAAGCAGGAAGTTCTCCACCTCGGGCCTGGGAAGCTTCCGGCGCCTGGGAGGCCTCGGCGTCGGCGGCATCTTCGGCTCGAAGCCAAAGTCGGCGAAGCGCTGCCGCAGGGTCTCGCCATCGGGCTCCTCGCGCAGCAGCCACAAGGCGCGCTGGGCCGCCTTCCACAAGCCCTCGAGGCAGGGCTCGTAGCCACAGAGGAGCGCACTTCGACCTCGGAAGCCCGTCTTAGGAATCAGGGGGTCCCCCTCAGGCACTGCTCCTGAGCAGGGAACAAGCAGGCTCCCAGAGCTTCCGCAGCAGAGCCTCGTGCCGTGCAGTGCCAACCTGGGTCCAAGGCTCTGCAAACTCTCCGTTTTATCTCATCACCCAATCGTATTCTGCAGCTGTGCGAACGAGGAGCCGCCGGCAAGCATCCACTGAGGCCCTGGTAAAGCACAGGACTGGCAAACGACTACCAGCTGGTCTTGAACTGAAAAGCGCGCCTCTTCGAAAGCATCCGTTCCAGCGAAGGCAGCCATAGCTCCCAGCAAATCACGAGCCCTGCGCAGTGACATCGGCACCTTCGACCATGCTTGATGAAACTTGGTTAACTCTTACCCCACGAAGCCCTGGCAATATAGCAAAAAGATCTGTAGTCTTTCTCAAACAAAGCCAACCCCACTTGAGACTTCAGCACCTCGGCCACGCACTGGGCCTCGCGGTTCAGCAGTGGCTCTAGGCGCAGCAATGCGCAGCATGTTGGGGGCCCCGGCTCTGCACTCAAGGATCACTTCCGAGTCCTCCGTCTCGAGGATCGACTGCTCCGCGAAGGGTTGATCGGAGGAGCACCTCGAAACCCCAACGAGAACGGTGAAGAGCACGGGGCAAAGCCGTGGTTTCCCGTGCCTCCTCAAGTTCACCGGATGATCTTCTGGCCACTGCAGCACTTCACGGATGGACTCCTGGAGATCCTGGCAAAGTCTCAGTGGAACGAGCGGAAGATGAGGCAGACGTCGGATCCTCCAGGCTGGCCGGCACTGAGACCTCCCGACAGAGGCACTTAAGTCAATCTGCACTTTGCCGTGGCTTCGGAGCCGAGCCCCCTGCGCCAACGCAGAATTTAATCTTGGTATACGTCCTTGCATGGAAGGGAAGCAGGCTGGCTGTTTGCAAAAGTCTATCCGAGCATGTGCTGGCAAAGTGCGTCTTGACGGTCACAATGCGCGTCTCCTGGCCTCAGAGTGCGATCACCAGATCACACACTGCACTCAGCGGGTCTCTGTCATGTCAACATTGTGCTCAAACTGCATGCGAAGCTTCTGGGTGCGCAGCTCCCAGTCTTTGTGCCCACACGCGCGGACAGGTGCAGATGGCCTGTCGCTCAGGCGAGATCAAAACATATATTCCGACAGCTGCCGAGGTGCGATTGGTTCACGAAAGGTCGCTGCATCGAGCTTGCCGGCAAGAAGCGTAAGCAAAGGAGCCCAACTCATAGCGAGAGCGGTGCAGCTTGAGAGCGGTGGGCCAAGCACAGAGCAGAGCAGAGCAGAGCGGGTGTGTGCCAGTGGAGCAGAACGCGAGCGGCAGGAGTTCCAGGGAGCGGCAGGAGCGTACGAGGGAGGGAAAGCAGGTGCTTGGAAGCTGGCGCACGGTCATCAGACAAGGAAACTCTTCCGAGCATCCCGGTGCAGACCCAGACTCGCTGAATCTCAGTCCACGATGCCCCGAACACGGAATTCTTGCCACATCAGGCTTTCCCTGACACCCTGTCCACTTCCATGTAAGGAGTTCAAAACCGATCTCGCAGGTTGAGGCTTGGCATAGCTTGGCCCAACACTACTTTGACCACCAACACTCGCCGCAGAAGGCACAGTGGCACAGTGCTCCGTTCTACAGGAAGGCGGAGGTGATGATTCAGCAACCCTCAGAAACCTAATCCTCAGAGTCCTCAGCATGCCGCAACATCACTGAAGCATTCTGCCGCCTCTGTCTCCAATGCCCTCGCCTTCCACAGAGACCTTGCTGCACAAGGGATCTGGACACATGCTGGGCAGAAGTCGCTGCTGCAATCTGCTGCATGCAGCCAACCAACATGCAGCACGGTGCTGGATGAGGCAGCCTGCCAAAGTGTCATGACTCACGACCAATCGAGGCAGTTGCATTTCACCGAATCCGTGGACAGCAGGATTCTGCCTGGGAGTACAACGGATTCTGGCCCCAGAGAAGCACTGTGCGCCCTTCCACTGTGCTGACCTCAGGCAAGCCGACATGAACTTGGCCGCCAAAGTGCATCAATCCGAATGTGGCTTCAGCGTCAGCGCCCGACTGCCGTCTGGAGAAAGGGCTGCAAGTGAGCCTCGGGACGAGAACGAGCAAGGATGCAACAAGAAGAAGTGGCTCTGAGGCGCAGACGTCCGGCCTGAGGCGCACTTCTCGCAGGAGGTGCAAGTCCCCTCCGCGGCGCTCCAAGACCTGCCAAGAGGAGACCTTTGGACCTCACTGAGACCTCTCAGACTCAGACTCTGAGACCTGCAACAACAAAAGACAGAAAGCAGACGGGCAGTTCAAGTTCCGTCGCAGTGCAAGGAACCTTGTGAGGCTTGGACTTCACGACGAATCGCAAGGTGTCCGTCTGCATCTCCAAGTTCATGTCACCGCCTTTCATCTTGCACTCCTCGGCAGGAGGAAAGGGCTGAGCTCCGACAGCGAGGCCTTTAGGGGCTGTTCGCAGGACTTCTCAAGCCAGGAGTCCCAGGACTCCGCGGCGCCTGGATGCCAACAACAAAAGATCGCGCGCGAGCACTCGGAGCAACCTCGCCCCGCACCTTTCGGTACGTCAAGGCGATACTGCTTGTCGTCGTGGAACTCCTGGAAGTCCCTGTAGATTCTCCGACTCCTCTCAACAGCTGCAAACGAGCTCTAGCAAACGAGCTCCATGATGTAAAGAGCTGTTCCGATCCCGCTCCTGGTGACCTGCTTGGTGCCACCATAGAAAAACTTCTCCAGCTTGCACCGCACCTGGCGCTCCATAGATCCATATCAAGCACGCTTGGCTCAAACTCTATCTCAGGAGGGACTGCTTCTGCGCTGCTATGCCAGGCCTCCACATCAACCTCCCTTCCAGGAGGCTTGTAGTGCCTCGCTGCGGCTTTGTTCTGTATGACTCCAGAGGCTGGACTTGCGTCAAGACGAGTTGCTCTTGGATCTTTTTCATGAGCTCCGTAGCATCGAAAGGAGCTCTGTCCTTGCGCTTGGAGTATCCGTTCACCTGCTGTCCAGTCCAAGCTTCTTCTCTTCACTGCGACATGCGACTTTCTATGAGCCTCTAGACTCTAGAGAGTCTTTTCGAGTGCGGGGCCTCGCTTCCCGCCGTGGCGAAATCCCGATCTCGGTCATACTGACGGCGGGTTGCCTTCGCGGAGGCACTTCTTCAGCTGCTGCACTGATTGCGAGCCCGGGCGCTTGCGCTTCCCACATCAGCCAGCCCTACTGTCCGCCGTGTTTCCCTTTTCTCCAAGCAGTTGGTGCAAAGAGCAAAGAGGAACGCGCTCTCAGCTGACCCGAAGCTCGATGCCAAGCTCTTGGAAGTTGGAGGCTCGGGCCTTCACCCGCCTCAGGGTCCGTCAAAGCATACCACGCCGACGATTCTTCGGGCTTCGCCCCCCCCCCTCCCCTGAAATGCTGCTTCTGCCTCTTGAAGTCATCGAAACCTGGACGGCGGTGGTCACACCACGTCGCTTCGGCGATCGCAGCTCCACGGGGCCATGCCTGGATAAGGACAACTGACACGCAACAGCAACCATGACAGCTGCACGGCGGCTAAGGGATGCCGGTCCTTGAAGTCCAGGTCGTCCAGCCCGCGACTGACAGCTTGGCAGCTTTCACGGACATGATGAGAAACATTAACAGCATTGACATGTGTGCCAAGATGTCCGAAGGCTACGGAGAGCGGTGACGCGTGCCTGATGTACTCGCTCCAGAGCTGGCCTTGGCCTCCAAGAACCTTCGCCCCATGTCCGTCCAAAGGCAGTTCGTAGACTTTCTTCAGATCCACTACACCCTGCTGAGACTCGTAAGGATCAGTCGGCCCTTGGGCAAAGTCCAAGTATGTTCTGCTATGTGGGCACATGACCACGGACAACCCTCGCTGAGATGCCACAGAAAGCTTGGAAGGGACGTTGTCCCAGTCCCGCCAGATCATGACCACGCTGCGCTGAGGAAGTGGAATTCCAGTTGAAAGCGCTTCATCCCAAACAATGCCCGATCTGCCCAGGCGATTGGCAGCTTCTATGGCCTTCCGGGTAAAGGTCCCTGCAATCTGCCGTGGTGAGGCAAAGTGGTTGTCCTCCTCGTAGCGGTGCGCACTAGGAGAGATGTCCCACTGCCGGCTGGAAACTTCATCTCCACCGACATGGTAGTAGTCCGATTTGATCAGACCCGACACTTCGCTGACCAGATCAGACACGAAGGAAAAGGTCTTGTCATTCGGGGCCAAGACGAAGTCTGATACACCCCACTGCTCCATGACCCGAGGAGCCACATTGATCGCATCCCGGTTGCTAAACTCGGGGTAAGCAGCCACAATCGCCTGCGCATGTCCAGGCAGATCCGTTTCGGGCACCACCATGATGTGTAATGACTCCGCATAGCTAACAACATCATGAATCTGATCAGGGGTGTAAAAGCCTCCGTAGTGTCGGTGGTCGTTGCTCCAGCCACTGTGACCCTGCTGTGTCCCATCGCGCCAAGCACCAACCTCTGTTAGCTTCGGATACTTTGCAATTGGCACACGGAACCCCTGGTCGTCGGACAGGTGCCAGTGGAATCGGTTCATTTTAAAAAGAGCCATGGTCCGCAGTAGATGCTTCACCTCATCTGCAGTAAAGAAGTGTCGGCTCACGTCCAGCATCAGACCTCTCCACTCATGCATGGGAGCATCCTCAATTCGGAGCTTGGGAATTGACACAGCACCGTCGCTCACTGACATCAGCTGTCTGAGTGTCATCATCGCATTGAAAAGCCCGTGACTGGTTGAGGAAGTCAATGTGATTCTCTTGTCCTTTACCTCAATCCTGTAGGCCTCGTCACTGAGACCTTCTAAGCCCTCGATGTTGTCGGACTTCAACTCAACAACGGGGCCAGGCTTGAAAGCGTCGGCCACTGACAGCTGGCCAACTTCCAAGACATGTGCTTGGAAAGCTTTCTGGTCTTCTGCTGTTCCTCGCGGGGGCACTTCAACCTTCGCCTCGAATCCAACAAGACAGCTCTGCGACTCTACCCCGCCTCCGGTGACCAGCACCGTAGATCGCAAGGGCAGCCGCAGCGGCGGCTCTGACAGAAACTCGACCACTTGCGGCGCAGGCACCAACTCGTGCTGTTGGGCAGCTGCAGTCCTCCAGCTGCAGAGCATGTATGAACACGTTACACAGGAGGCTTGGTCGCTTGCGTCCTCGGAAGACTGCGAGGCCTGGGACATATGCAACCCTTGCAAAGCCGACTCGCTTGACATGGCAAGGGGGCTCTGGGAACCCGGCGGGCTTTGCCGCAGTCTGCGCAGAACCCGCGCCTGGCGAATGCAAGACCAGCAGGCCTCTTGCGACCGTCCTAGATTCAGGTTTCACCGAAGCAGTGTACAAACTCCTTTGCTGGACCAAGGCGCACGGAACTCGCTCAACCTCAGACATGGCGCTGCGCCGCCACGGCCGCTTGCTAATTACGCATTGTGCATTAGCGCTTTCTCAAGTCAAGCGGCCCCCCGGAAGTCGGCCTCGCAGCCTCAGATGAACGGCAAGATTCCCCCAGAGAGCTGAGTGCTGGCATGAGACCCGCGAGATGGCCTGAAGTGATCCTGCAGGGATCCCCGGAAGTCGGCCGCTGGTCTGCAAGCCCTGACGTTGTCCCCTTTTTGCGGCAGACACATTAGCGGTGTGCCCTTCATAGTCAGGTCACGTTCGGTCATCAAACCTGTCCGGCTTTCCGTCAGAAACTTTGCCAGTCAAAGCTCCCGTGCAGCGCTCTAAGCGCTGCAGCATTCGATGCAAAACTTTCCATGTAGATCAAGCTCATGCGCCGTTACATCGATGACTTGTTGGTAAAACCTGAAGTTATATGGTTTCAATAGCTGGCTACATGACTGCATGAGAGCTGCTTCAATTGAGGCAGCAGTACTGTACCAGTGACTGCCGAGCCCCTCAGACCGGCTTGATCCTGAAGTGGAGGCCGATGAGGCTGAACACGAAGCACTTCAGATCCTGCACGAGGTAATAGAAGACTCGGAGGCCTTCTGGATCCTTTGAGGCCTGGACATCTGCGAGAGATCCGATCTTGGATGTGGTGAAGGAGATGTGCTCTTTTCCACACACAACCTCCAGCTCTTGCCGACCGATACGATCTGGCGCTGGCCAGTGGTTGTCATCTTCTTTCAGGATCTCAGAATCCTCGATCATCTTCCTGAGCTCCTTCATGACTGCTTGTGTTACATGTGCCTCCTTTCGGATCATCACGTCGTTCTTGTAATTGGAGTTGTTTGCATAGCGCAGTCGACCGTCTGGCCTGAACTCAAACTCCAGGAACTCATGCCCGAACTTGCCCTTGTGACCCACGTAGTAACGCACGTAGAAGTCCTCCTCTTCAGCCATGATCCTCTACTGCACTTCCGTGCTGGCTGCTTTCTATGACTGAGCCAAGCTGCAGTATGACAGCTGATCTAAAATGCATGTCTGTCAACAGCCTATTGGTTGAGCTGCCACAACTCGAGGCAGGCAAGCCGTCTCCACCCACGCGAAGCAAGCAGCAAGCAACATCTGAAAATGGCCGACTGAACATGGGCCGAGCAACTGAATCACGTGACGCCTTTTGGACATCCTCTGACCTTTGTAGGCGAATCCGGCACGCTCTACTGCTGCAGGTTGGACATTAATGCCGTCCGTGGCACGCTCTGCTTTTGAACCTTGCAGAGGCACGATGTGAGCAGTAGACAATTGGGTCGGAACCGCCATTGTCTTTTGTTGTAGCAGAATTGAATGGTAAATTGCAGAAGCAAGCGACGCAACGAACAGCTGCAAGTGCAGCTGCAAGAAAACGATGACTCGAAGCACCTGGTCTTCAGGAAGGATGTGCATCTTAAGAGTACAGTACGGATTGGTGGTGCCAAATGCGCAGCTTTGGCCTTCATTGTCTCGGACGGAAGCCCCCTCCAGGAGTCCTGCAGAATGCCCAGTGCGTTGCAGAGGCTGACAGGAATGGGACATCTCCCATCGGTCCTGGAGCGGGCTTTGAGCCAAGAGGTTTGGGCCCACACGGCGGGAGTTGGAATGTAAAACAACAGAACCCACTAAGACGCACCTCACGATGTTGGGAAAAAGTGGTCAGGCACAAAGTCCGAAGCCTGGTCACCGAGTACAAGATAGGCATTCCTTGGAACACAAGTGCGCTGCATGAATGCTGAAGTCTCCACACTCAACACAGAGAAGCCACTGCTGCACTTACTGCCTGTGCTGCGCGCTTGATTTCAATGAAGACTCCCGCTCGTTCTTCCTGCTCCTTTGCTCGTTCACAAGCCCGGACTCTGAGTTGGGTCTGAGAACATCCACCGCTCCTCCTTGGAGAGGCCCGCCATCTTGTCCGGATGGTAGATCAAGGACAATTTCTTGTAGGCCTGCAGCTGACACCCGCACCAACAGTTCCACAAGGCCACGACACTTCTTCTACAAGCGCAGCAAAACGGCAACATTTCTGGATCCCTGCAACAAGTTCTCCTTGGTACCATGGGCCTTCTTGATCTCTTCCAGGGGTGCATATTCATCAACTCCAAGGACCTGTCTCAGGAAATTCTGCCATCGGCTGGTCCCAAAGCCACTGGCGAGCTAGCATGGAAAGGACCTATGAGACTGTTGCCAGCGGGAGCCCCCCGAAGGAGGCATCGCGATTTATCGCGATGCTCGAAACACAACGGCCGGGGCTACCGTGTAATAGTTGACGCCCTTGTCGTAGTCATAGGCCTGCACCGGCGCCGAAGAAAGCTTCATGTCAAACGTGCCCCTCCTGCACCAGGCCCTGACAGGCCTTGGGCGCGGTGAAGTCATCATCGCAAGGATTGAAGTCCTGAGCAGATCTCTGAGCAGATCTCGCTTCACACTCCTACGGCACACTATAAGATTTCCTCCTTTGGATGCATCTCTCTCTTATAGTCGCCTTGTCAGTTTGCTTCCGCGTCTTGTCGCGCTCGCCAGTCAGCTGCGACCTGTCAGACGCCAAGTACAATATGCAACCCGCTCCTTTGCGAGGCTACCAAGCATCGGACACATATTGCTCCTGTTGGCGAGCCTGAGCACCACGATCAGTCGCGCAGGGATGAATTTGCAGCAAGTCCGAGTGCATGCCTTCACCATGAACGGGCTCGACTCGAAAGCCTTGGATTGCCTTGGCCAGAGATGACAAACATGCCCTGTCAGCCCACCGATTCCTAGCATTGACTTGCGACGGGGCATCCAAGTCGATTGCTCCGCTGACATTCGGTGGCCTCCATGCTGTATACCCTTCGTTGCCAGCTCATTCTGCCTGCGCAGCTCAGCAACAGTCCGAGCATCTTCCAGAAGAAGGCTACGCATGGCTACGCATGCACCATCATGCACAAACATGCGTGAGCCTGAAGCTGTACTGCCCATCATACACAGTGACCTAGCAGCAGTCGCTAAGAACATAAGCCGTGAATCGACTCGGAAGGCAGCTGGGGCCCGAGCTGACATGTTTCTGGAGTCGCAGGCAAAAGACCCCTGCGAGACCAGATCATGTGACGCATCTGCGACCTAGCTCGGAAAGCTCCCACGTCGGCTGAGAACCGAGCAACAGATGAAAATGTGCAGCTCCGACAGGAAAATGCGCGTAGAGGAAAAGCGCTGCTGGTCTAACTTGTGCATGTTCGTCAACTGCTGCTTCGCGCTCTGCTACACCCTGCTCGTTTGGACGGGTTGCAACATTCCTTACAACTGTCGACTATCAGCCAAAAGGACTGAGACCGACTCGAGACGTCGTCACATCGACCAGGCTACAGTGCAACTCGCAGCTTCCCATAGACCCGCCAGGGACTGGAGTTCACTCGACTGCACAACTGCATAACATCGAGGCCAATGGCCAACAACACTGCACGATCCTTTTGCGACGTGAAACTTCTCAGGGTTTGGCCGTATCACTTTCTGCCGGCAAAAATCTGAGAGCACTTTGGCTGCATCTAAAATGAAACGCAAGCTCCACCCGCCGATGCGCCTTGTTGACCGCTGCGGGTGGGTCTTTATGAGTTTTTCAGTAGACACCACGTGGCCATGCCAAGGCCATGCACTAGCGAGGCGACTTTGCATTCTTTGCTGGGGGCTTCGGGGGGAAAACGGAGGAATCTTGTAGCTGTATCTGTGTCTCACTGGCACCCACAGCACCACCTGTTTGCACCTTGTCCTCTGGAAACCCAGCATCAACCAGGTAGTTTCGCAACACCTGGGCTCGCTTGGCAGCCATGTCCTGCCAGACTGTCGTGTCACCTCCCTTGGGCATCTTGAGGCTGATGGTGATGCTCACAGGAACATGAAACATGTTCACAACATCAAAGACGTCATCCAGCACTTCGGCTTGTGACGCATCTGCGAGGGAGACTGGTGGACTTTGCTTGGCGTCTTTAGGCGGGGCCGCTGGACTGAACGCCAGCTGTTGGAGAAGCACTATCCGCCCAAACTGCCGATCAAGCTTCACGTGGCCCTTCGTCTCAATCTCCCGAATCCGCTTCATGCTGTTCAACAAGGAGGCCAGCTCTGCCGTCTCAAGCTGTGAGTGTGTCTGCTGCAATGTGTCCCTTAGGGAGTCAAGCTGGCCATTAAGAAGCTGTTGCTGCGAAAGGCTCTCGGCCTTCTCTTGCCGAGTCCGGCCCAGGTCGCCCTCCGTCTCACGCAGAGTGCTCTCCAACCTGGAGACCTCCAAACGCAAGTCCATGGCCTCCTGCAGTGACTTGGTCTCCCAGTCTGTCAACCGGCCTTCCAGGCCGCTGAAAGCTGCAGAAAGCGAAGGTAGCTCGGAGGTCCAACCCAAAGAGTTCACCATGTAGGACTCCAACTTCTCCATTCCACTCCCGATGTTGCTGAAGATGTTATCCTGCAGAGACTCCTGCTGCTCGGCAGAGTTGTTGAAACTCTTGAAGACGTGCTGCTGCAAGTCCACCAGAGATTGGCAGTCTTGTTGTATCGCAGACTGCACAGACTCCAGTCTCGTCAGCTGCTCCTTTTGAGCCTTTGACGCCTTCGTCTGCTGATCCACGGAATAACCCAAAGTCTCGAGGCGGTTCCAGATCTTTCGTTGCGTAAGGATCATGCTTTCCTGGACCTGGCTCTGAGTTTCCAGGGTTTTCTGCAGCCAAAGGTTTCTCTCTTCATCAAAGCTGCGCAGGGAAGTCGCAACTCGCTGGGTAATGCCATCGGCTATTTGATCAACGGCTGAAGTGAAGTCTGCACGGAAATCCTTCACTTCCAGGATTGCCTGTGAGAGGGTGTCCATGGTCCCATGGAACTCCTGAAACGTCTCAACGGCCGAGCACCGACCCAAAAAATCCTCAAGACTCCCATTCAGCTTCAGCAATGTCTTAACATGCTGCTGCAACTGCGCAGTGGCTTTCAGATCAACTTTACGCCAGTCCTCAAAGCGCGACTGGAACGTAGATGCATGAGCATTTTCGAAAACTGCCTGCAAGGCACGAATACATTCGCCAGCTTCAGCTAGGAAGCTGCTTCTCATCAGCCTTTCGTCTTCACGATGTTGTGCGGTTGATGACATTCTGCTTTTTGGAGGGGTAATTGTCGGTGGGGTCGACATCTGCGAGCGATCACCGCAGACCGACTCATAACCCGTACGTTGAGAATCCGAGGACAGTTTCAGTGCGGTCTCCTGCAAAAAGCGGTGAGACTGAGGTGCCTCCGACTTACCCTCCCCACAGAAGGGCAGCTTCACCTGCTCCATGGCGCAAAGGCGCAATGCCTGAAGTGAAGTGGAGATCTAAAGACCTTCGAGAGACCTAGCGTCTAGCTGTGCAGGTGCCATACAAAGCATCCCCCAACTCGGGTATGCTGCTTGTGTCGTAAAGCTTCTGCTGCTCACCCCGAACTGTCATCACACTACGACCTGCATGTTCTGAGCAGCCCAAGCTTGCCACGACATCCCCCAGAAGGCCACAAAAGCAAATTCTCAAGCACGCACCGAAGCAATTGAGCACACAAGGCATTAAATTCCTGAACAGATCGGCTCACTGTCGCAACTTCGTGATTGGGCATTTTGCGTGCGGCCACGACTGATGTCTATCTTTCATAACTGGTCAGGACATCTCTTGTCCAACTGCTTCTTTCACCCACCTTTCTATCAAGATGTTCTAGAACTTCTGGGACAAGTTGTCATCATGTTGGTGGGTATGACAACCCGCTGATGTTGGATTGTTGGATGCTAGCACTAAGGACAGCAGCATGGTCGACTGTGTAGCCCCCTCAGACCGGCTTGATCCTGAAGTGGAGGCCGATGAGGCTGAACACGAAGCACTTCAGATCCTGCACGAGGTAATAGAAGACTCGGAGGCCTTCTGGATCCTTTGAGGCCTGGACATCTGCGAGAGATCCGATCTTGGATGTGGTGAAGGAGATGTGCTCTTTTCCACACACAACCTCCAGCTCTTGCCGACCGATGCGATCTGGCGCTGGCCAGTGGTTGTCGTCTTCTTTCAGGATCTCAGAATCCTCGATCATCTTCCTGAGCTCCTTCATGACTGCTTGTGTTACATGTGCCTCCTTTCGGATCATCACGTCGTTCTTGTAATTGGAGTTGTTTGCATAGCGCAGTCGACCGTCTGGCCTGAACTCAAACTCCAGGAACTCATGCCCGAACTTGCCCTTGTGACCCACGTAGTAACGCACGTAGAAGTCCTCCTCTTCAGCCATGATTCCCTGCTAAAACTGTCCCGGGCAGATTGCAATGGGCTTTTTCCTTTTTTGAGCCGAACCACGCAAACACAAAACAACACGTTCCAGAAGACCTGCCAGCCATGATCGACGTCAACTTTCGTCACCACGACACTGCAGCAAAAGAGCCGCCCAGATTTGGTGCTCAGGCAAAAACAACCTGAAGTGACATGACGTTTTGGTGGGAAACGAGGGGAAACCAACAGCAACACAAGTGGAGTCCAATAACGAACAAAGTCCATGGCAATCACGGACAATTCGCCCCGTTGTATTCAAAGGTTCAACATGGTGACCTGCGGCTGCCATATCGGGTTGAGCGAAGATCTACTAGGTGCCCGCCGTTGAACAATGTGTCCCGCTATCCAAATCTGGATTCCAAACACAACGAAACTTCATCATGCTTGCCTCCAGTAACACAATGAACACTTGATTGGCAACACGCGCGCGATGGAAAAGTTTTCTCTGCAATTCAGAATAAGGCTGTTTGCAACGGCAAAAGATCTTACAGAACACATCTGAAAAACGAATTCACAGCCTGCATGCCGACATCAACGGCACTGACGGATTCGAGGATTTCCATGTTGGGACTAGTGAGCCAGTGACCGCAGCAGCAGCAGCAATGCGCACCAGATAAGCAAGCTTGGCCTTTTGACCTGCGGCAGTCTCTCTCTTTCGTGTTTCGATGTCAACCGATCCACGCTGCCAACCTCTCAATACTTCATAACTGCGTGCCATTCTTCAAAATCTCGAACATTGACTTGACCATCCCAAAATCCGTCTCTAAGCCATTCTTGGCATTCGATGACAGTGTGTCGCAGCACTGTTCAAAATACATTCCGCAATTCGCATCAAAGTTCTCAACTGCAAGTTCTTGCCAATGGAGCGAGTGGCACAAGTTGCTGGTTTGCACAGCATCAGAAACATAGTTGAAGAGCAAGACCTCGGCACTCACTGAAACACCAAGCGTGCAACTCTGTCGTAAAAAGCAAGGCAGGTTTCTTGGTGCTCATCTGCTGTAAGAATGCAAACAGCTTTCTTCACCAGCATGGACTTGCACAAACTCTGAGGGTTCGAGGTTGCCAAACCCCGGATTTGAAGCCTAACACGAACTCTGACATTGCATTGTGGGTCAGACTGGAGTCATCCCGAAATCTGACACAAAGATAAGAGTCGTTTAGGCAAACAGGAACTTCCCTGCTGACGAAGTAGATGTTGCGACAGTAACAACGTCAATTCGGAGGAGCCCTCCTTTCAGATGCTTCGCAAGCTCGCCAGCTCTAAACCTTAATTCCGCATGTTTTTGTTTTACACATCAAAAGGCTTTTTTGAGGACGCAGGACTCGCGAAGTGTCGGATTGTTCACCCGTGACGAACTCTGAGTTCGGGAAACTCAATAATTCGAACTCTGGGTTCGCGGAACTCAATATTCGAACTCTCAGTTGGGGGAACTCCATGTTCGAACCTATGTTTGAGCAATCTATGTTCGACTTCTGTGCAAATTGCTGCATTTTGGCAAAACATAATTTTGAATTTTTGCAATGGACACAGGTCAGCGGCCGTTAATTGCGACAGCAGTGCTCAGTTTCCAAACCCAAAGTGAAAGGGCAACTACGATATCAACTTCTTTTCTGGAGAAAGATTCAGATCAGCTGAACAAACGTGCTTGAAAACTTTTTGATGGATTTGTTTCCGTCGTACCACACGAGCTCGAAAAGTCTTCAGATGCAACTCGTCTTCATTCAAGCTTGAAAAGTTCATGGCTGGCGGCAAGTCGTTTTGAGGTCTCTCGTTGAAGAGCGTTTGTCTATTTTGATAAAGTTTGGTGTTTTTTGGCGTCATCTTTCTTGCCTTCAGCGTCTGGACGTCAAGCTCTAGAAAGAGGGTCATTTACGAGCAATGCTTGGTCGGTCTGTTTTCTGCTAGCTCATCAAGCATTACAACACTGGAGCAACACTTAAATCTGACAGTTCTGAGACAGAAGAGTTTGCTCTGCTGACGAAATAGATGCAACGGAGGAATCCTTCTTTTCAGATACTTGATGTGGCGAGCTCAGAAGTTCGATAGCCAACCTTGGACCCTGAATCTTCAACAACGAAAGCATTGCATCGTCGATGGTGCCAATCCAGACCTGTGATGTGTGGAACTGTCCAACGCCGCTTGCTACAAGCGGGAGCATTAAGGCCTTTAGCCAGAATTGGGCTTGGAAGCACATTTTTGGTTGTGGGTTTCTTGGATCGTCCACTGTCCCTCCCACTGTCTCTCCATTGTTGCTCCACTGTCCCTCCATTGTCGCTCCCGTTGTCGCTCCGCTGTCCCTTTTGTCTCCCGTCGCTCCCGCTGTCGCTCCCACTGTCGCTCCCACTGTCTCTCCCTCTCTCCGCTGTCCCTCCCCTCCAACGGCCTTTGTCCCCTTCATGCGAAACTTGTATTTTCAGGCATTTTCACAGGCGGCAGCATAAAATCAGACCCCGAAGGGACCCGCAGCAGCTCCAGATGTGATCCATGGCATGTTTGCACTGAATATGTGGTGCATGTCGTGTTTTCTGTTTCCAGCCAACTGCAGTGCTTTTGGCTTGCAGCAAGCAACAACTTTGGATTGTTTGCGATTTTGTGTCGTAGATCGAAGCAATGCCATCAGATCCGGCAACACGTGTGTGTGCTGCGGCCACAGAGAGGCCACAACAGCACCAGGTGCAATGCCAGCAAGGCCAACCGAGGCCACAACAGCAGCAAGTGCAATGCCAGCAAGGCCTGCGACCAACGACCCAGTGATTAAGCTCAAGCGAGACCTCTCCAGTTTTTTGAAGACCGGGACACCACTCGCAAAAACGAGTATCCTCTAACAAGAAGCGAAGCTCTGGAGCTTGTCCAAGCAGTGCACGAAGACAGGAAGCTGGCCCTTGCTGCAGATGAAAGGAAGGAAATGACAGAGGCAGCTTTGAAGCGAGCGAGGTCTGACAACCTCGCACTTCAAAGCGAGATGAACCAGAAGGATGCCACAATATTGGCACTGCAAGAAAACAACAGGAACCTCTGGTCACAGATGCTGCACTCAACAGAAAGATGAGCAGCCTTAGAGGGATTGTGACCGATTGTGTCACCAGCGTGAAGTCCGTCCACGCCATTGTGGAAAGTTTTGAAGCGGCCATGATCCCAAGAAACCCCGACACCGAAGACACACAGCACTGAGTGAAGGTGCGAGACTGCTTGTGGAAACTCATCCACCAGGACAGCAACATGTTCTGCATGCCACAGTGCACGATTTTGCTTTAAAGTGAACCGGGCTTTGAAGCTCAGTAAGGATGCGCCCCACCCCCTTTGACAAAAGGGGGCTTAAGCCGCCCTTTACAAGACAAGAAGAAGAAGCCACACGAAATCGTTTGATGGGTGTTTTTTGCAAAGAAAATGAAATGAGAAAAGCAAACTTTCACAATCTCGCTGTTTGGGGCGTTTTGTGAAGAAAATACAATGTGGCACCCACACTTTGAAGGCTTCGAAGCTCTTCTTCATCCCCCCCTTCAAGCCCCCTCCAAGCCCCCTTCCAAGTCCCCCCATAAGCCCCCTTTAGCCTTTCAAAGCCCCAGTGCTGTGCTGCCTTTCAGCCTCAAGGTTCAGGTTTTTTTTCAATCCTCATAGCAGATCAGCACACCCCAAAGCCCAAAGCCACCCAAATCCACAAACAACTTTCAAGCACAAAGCTTGGATCTGAACGTCGGCAGCTGTTTTGGTGTTTGCCGGCTCAAACATGGCAAGTTCGCCAACATTGCTGCTGCAGCTCTTGCAGTTGCTGGAAAGGGCTGTTGTGGTGGCAGAGCCATGTTGTGGCATCAGTGGTTTTAGGTCTTTGTGTTTCTCCGTGTCCTGGGAGCCAACAGCTGTTTATGAAAATGACGAAGGCCTTGCACAATTTTGGAGAGATTGTTGGGGCTGCAAGCAGATCAGCTCAACTTGGGCAACATTTTGAAGGTCGACGTTGCTGCAACAGGAGCCCGAGAAACTGATCGCTGGGTCTTCCTTGCCATGTGCGGGTTGCGATCTCAGCAAGCACAGGTAAAGCTAATGACACCACAGACAGCATGACTGCAACTCAAGCTGCCAACCTCAAGCTTACATCCAGGCAGTTGCAGAAGAGAGGCGAAAGCACGAGTTCGACCTTGCTATTGTCGAGTTGGACAGATGCCCCTTGCGGGCCCGTCGGAGGGAGAGTCCACAAAGACCGGGTCCAGTCTGAAACACAGGGGCCTGTATTGTTTGTGCTGTCCACTGCAGACATCCATCTGCCCAGCAGCCAGATGGAGTTTCTTCGTTATGTGCTGCCAGAAGAAAGGCTCATCCTTCAAGGTCACAGCCCAAATCTTCTCCAGCATTTCAAAAGCAAGCAACATGTTCTGCAGGCAGCAGGCAACTGTTTCAACGTTTTGCAGGCCAGCATAATGTTGGCTCCACTCCTGCGTGCTGCTGTAGTAGCTGGGAAGTTGTGGCGAGGTGTTCGGCAGCCTCGCTTGTTTCGACTTGAGCTCAGCAGTCTTTGTTTTGCAGAAGTTTGTGATGCACCCAGCACCCAAGCTAGCTGTTGTTTCACCACCAAGAAAAAGACAAAAAATGAGGGCAACCATCGAATGGGCACTCAAGACCTTGTGATGTCCTTGCACAAATCAATTAGATTGCACGAAGTGCAAGATAATTTGATATGCAGCAGCTAGAGATGTGGCCAGTGTTCTGTTCATAATGTTTGTATTGCTGTCATCCCTTTGCAGATAGTTTACCAGGGCTACATCCACCATAATTAGTGCGGCCGACAACACTTTTCTGTAGCACCCTGCACCGAGAAGGCGTGGACCAAGGAAAAGAAAGTGCCACGACATCAGTATGAGCTAGAAAGAGAGAGACAGAGAGAGGGGGAGAGAGAGAGAGAGAGAACTTTGGAAGGAAGTAGCAGCCACTCTATGATGGAATTTTTCATATCATATCTCCAGCCG